ACCCCAGGTCCCTTTCTGCCTGGCAGCTTTCCTGTTGTGAGCACGCACCGTCCGGCTGCGCAGCAGAGGAAGCTGAACTCAGCCAGGGCTTAAAAATCAACAGAGAAGCGTGGCAAGTGCTGCCAACAAATATGGAAGAGGCGGCGAGTTCGGAGCGTCAGCTGTGGCTCTGGGTGGATCACTGCAGACCCCGTTTCGAAGCTCCATAGCCAGTGGCCACTGCTGCACTGGAAACCGTCACAGCACGTTTACGAGGGGGAAATGGAGCTTACGCAGCGACTTTGCGGACATGTGGCGAACGGTTACTACTGAAAATAGCTCAGCCCTCAAAGACATCCTTTCCTGAGCTGGCCCTGCTGGTTTCCAGACCCGCGGCAGAGCCGTTTTTGAGGCTTCCCGAGCGCTCAGCCCTCACCTTATAGAACACGTCAGGCACATACTGCTCGCTGCTGGACTCCTTGGCGTAGCCCAGCTCCGGCGCGTCTCGGCAGGGCAGCAAACACTCGTCTCGAACCAGCGCCATGCACTGATTCGATACCTGGTAGCCCTCGAAGTGGACCTGGTTGTCGGGGCCGCCTGGAAGAGAAGAGGTTGGTTAAAAACCCCACACGAGAGTGACTCGCACGCAGAGAGGCGCGACTCGGAGCGGCGTTAAACATGACAGGCTTGCTAACAGCGCTGAAAACACTGGTGCTGCTGCATGGGAAGCGCTTGGAGGCAAGAATCCCCTCTAAGCCCTGCATTTATTTAGCAACGCACGTTTTCACAGCCAGCATAACAGGACAGACCCCTGGAGTGACAGCAGGAGTGCTCTGCCAGCGGCTTCGCATAGGCAAAGCTGCCCAGCCGCAAACCTCCCGACAGCATCGCCCTGCAGGCATCTCCTCTCCTCAAAACACAAACCAGGCGCCAGCTCCCGCCAGCCCGCTTCGTTTCTGAGGATCCGTGAGCTGCGGATTCAGGGTTGGTCACCAAATAACATGAGGCATAAGAAGACAAAGTGTTTCCTCAGCCCGGAACGGCTGGAAAGTTGACATGGAAAGTGGAAATTAAGACCCTGGCTCGCTGATGGATCACATGCTTGGCGCTTTAATTTGGATAATGTAAGCAACATCAGGTCATGTGTCATTAGAATACAACTGGAAAGAGCAGATACAGACAGATGGTAGGAAACCGTTACTATTTCCAAACCTAGGAATTCAGGAGGGGATAGGAATTAATCCGTGTAGAGGATTTAAAGGCAAAGTTGATGCAAACTATCCAAATATATTTATACAGCACAAAAGGAAGGAATCAAGTGTTTAAATAGAAACCCGATGGGCTGATTTAACAGAAGAGAACGAAATTATCTGGAACAGCAAGGAGGAAACGTTCGTTTTCTCCCCTTTGATCTCTAACCTCAATCACTCACTGCTCCAGAACAAACACTCCCAGAAATTAAACAGAGAGCACGGCACGGGGAAGGCCTGAACAAAGCCATCGTTTGCTGAGGAAAACACCTTGTTTCTAAAAAACCAGAAAGAGAAAAAAGCCAGCGAGATACACATCTCTTTAATGAGAGATGGATGCGTTCAGCAGTCTGGAATGTGCAGGCAGCTGTGAACTGCGCTGCACCAGAGCCTCTGCGCTGGGGAAAGGCTCCGGGAACACTCACGAAAGCTGGGCCGCGAGGAGGGAACAGGATACGGCGCTTGCAGTCTTTACACGGGACGCTGTTTGGAAGCCGTGCGTTTTGGGCTTGGTTTCACTGTGTTAAATAGACCCAGAAGCCGGCGTTATCTGCTCCGGGGAAGGTTTAAGTGAACACACGAAGCATTGAACTCCTGACACCGCCGCTGGCCTGGTCCGGGCCAACGCCTCCCCTCGTAGTGCAGCCGATCCCACAGCGCCTCCGCGGATTCAGGGTGACAAAGCAAAGCGCTTCTCTGGTTTATTCAGGGGAAAAAAAACCTCAACCCAAAGCGTTTCCACGCGGGGAAGAGCTCTGCATCCCACCTAAGGGTTTCCCTCCTTTACGCTGAACCAGCCCCAGTAAATTTCGGCATTGCTGCTGCTTTCAGGCAGCAGAATTTGGAGCTGAAAGGTTTGAAACAGAAAAATGAGCCACGGTTATTGCCTTGGCCGCAGGCAAAAAATGCTTTCTGGATCAGAGAGGTGGGTGCTCCAGGTCTGAACCTCAATTAAACTTCCTGCAGGGGACAGGGTAAATAATGGCAGAGGAGACAGCACAAAGAATGAAGAAGTATTTGACTTGACAGAGCAAAGCAAAGCCCTTGTTAAATGGGACAGATGGGGACCGGGACTGCATACTCTGCAATTAAGGAGAGCTAATTCACGTGTGTAACCCAGAGCGCCGGGGCAAGCCGGGGCCAGTTTATACCTGTAGCCACAACTGTGACAAACTTGGATCCGAAATGACCATCTGGAGAGAGGCGACAGATGTTGGGCTGCTGGTTCTGAAAGTTCCCAGCTGTTATGCACTCTTCTGCACTCAGATAATACGTGTCCTGAGGGAAGAGCAGAAACGGCAATAAAAAGGACGAGGCGATGCAGCCTCGACCTCCTTCCCTGGGTCGCAGCCAACAAAAACTACCAACCCGCAGCAAAACAGGCTTTCGTAGAAAGCTGCTGCAGAAACCGGGAGAAGAATGTGACATATCAGCTTGCCTGGCCCTCGCCAGGACTGTCCCACTGCTGGTTC